ACAGCATGAACGTGACGTGCGACCATCTTGCTGTTCACCAGTCCAATCGACACGGTGTGGGAATAGACCTTTCTCACATGTCAGAACTCATCACCAGCATCGCGAAAATGGGATACATTGCAGAAGCCGGTGTCGGCCAGCGCATCGCAGTAGAACTTGACGCATCAGCTGATTCTGAGGAGTGCAGGCATGGTAGTAGGTTGTGTGTCGCAAGCAGAAGTTGGGCTGTCCCAATCTTATGGGTTTATGTGTGTAAGACAAATTAGACACCCTGCAGGCGATTCAACGAACGACTCTACTTAGAGTCGAAGGGTCGCTTGGCCCCTGCAACCATAGGGCCTTTGCGGTACGCGACGATCTCGGGCAGCCACGCAAACATGGCTGCAAGGGCTTGCTTGCACGGGGCACTTCACGACGACCAGTCTCTGACAGATGGGGCAGGGCGCCTCACGATGAGTGCGATCGGGTCGGCATGGTCGCGTGCAATCACACAGGGCAGTACATGGCAAATCATCAAGAGGACTGTGGCGCAAGAGCTGCCAGCATTGATTGACATGATCTGCGCAGCGCAAAACGCCACGCAACAGGTGGCCAAAGGAGAGGATGAGGTCCAACTCATCAAGAAGATATTGGCCGCTGTCAGCAGGTTCGACAGGCTACATGGCAAACAGCCATGCTGGCAAGAGATCCAGGAGGAGGTCCTGAGGAGCCGTCCACGGTGCAAGGAATCAGCGCCTAATATTTTCACCTTTGCCATGAAATTCAGCGGTGGTGAAGTGATGGGCCACACTGAGAGCTTTGTGAGAGCCAACGGGCGCTCATCCCGGGACTTGGGGCCGGAGTGCTGGGCGCAGCTGAGCCAGGATGTCAAGAGTGGACCACAGCTCTGGTGGCGTCATGCCTTGATCAAGTATGGGTACTGCTCTGACCGGGCTTTGTCAGCGACCGATGTGACTTGGGAACATGTCCTGCAGCTCTGTCCCCAATGGTTTAACGTAAGTTGCTTGTACCTTGATTTGTTGGCCAATGAAGTTGGGTATTTTTAGACATGCTCGCTTCTTATATGATATGCAGGTTCCCTCAATATATAAGACACTATTGCGCAAGAAACAGTTGTCATGGTGCACAAAGGCAAAGAAGGCCTTGACAAACAAGGAGACGTTGAAGATGGCAGAAAAGGGCAAGAAAATCGTGAACCAGTGGAAGTCCGTGGTACTTGACGTTGTTGACAAGGAGGCCGAGAAGGTGAGAGCGCTTGGGCGGCTCGAGTGCATGATTTGCGCAGTGGCGCTGGATAAGAAGAACAGGAAATTTCCCAAGATGGAGGACGCAGCCTTGGATGGGCTCGAGGAGTTCGGCAAGGAGGTTGGGAAGGTCTTGTGCGCCCCTTCGGCATGGGTAGACGGAGCCAGTGACAGTGACAAAACCAAACCCAGCCCAAAGCCACGGGAACAGATGCTCATGCACCGCGAGTACGATCAGCATGGCGCGCTGAAGAACGAGAAGGCCGTCTTGGCGGCGATGGGCTATCAGATTGGTGTGGTGATTCAAAACAACGAAGTCATTGGAGAGATCAAAGAGGTGAAGGACAACGAAGTGACTTTGCTGCTTCGAAGTGAACCTGAAGGTGGGCAGGTGAAAGTGAAGACTCAGTCCTTGCTTCAAAACGAATGGAAAAAGTATGTGGAGCCGAAGGAACAGACACAGGTGGCATGGGTTTCTGATGCTCCCATGGTCTCGGCCGAGTTTGGGATCACGGTGCTGAAAGCCAATGTTGTGCAGGCTATGTACCAGCAGGCCAAGGACCTGAAAGGGTACGAGACTGTGCAGCTGTGGAAGGACCCCAAGGCATTGACCGTCTCCAAGAGTTGGCCACCAAAAAAGCTTCAGTTTCCATGTGCGACTGGAAAGATCTTGGTGGTGGAACCCGACAAGGCCAGTGGTATCACCATTGGTGTGTACGGTCCATACGAGGTGTGCATCGTGCCACACACAAAGCTGGGCAGCTTCTGCAATCCCATGTGGATGATTCCGACCACGGAAGAAGAAGAGAATGTGAACATGGAGGTGCGCAGGGGTCGCCATGTCAAGGCATTATACTCTCTGTATGGCAACGATGCCATTTACATCTGGGTACTATTGAGCGAACACCTTTACTATTGTGTTGTAGAGTTTGACAATACGTTTCCCCTTGCTAGTCATTGATTCCAACTTGCGACCGCCTGATGCAGGTGCATCCGCCCATCGACGTCATGAAAAAAGACCAAACTGTCCCTGGACAAACCAATCACACTTCCGGTTGTCCGGAACGTGGACAAACTTGAGGCCGACGAAGAGCTCTACATGTTGGCGGACAAGAAGAAGAAGGCTGTCGAGGTCGAGCCGATCGACGCAGCGCCCAAAAAGAAAACGCGCAAGTAGGAATCTTAATCTTAGAGGATTCTTGAACCGCTATTTTTCAAGGAGCCGACTGCGCAGGTCAGCTCGAAGGTTTTTTGTAGGCAACGTGGCAGCTGCATTTGATCAGTTGGCTTGCATTGAATGCCCCAGCATCAGTGAAAAGGGCGCTGCAAACGTGAAAGTTGTTTTGGCAAGGTGTCGTGGTTTCATTCTGTTTGCTGGGTGTCACTTCTCGCAAACGCCATGGACAGAACGCAGTGGACAGCTCGTATTTTAATGCGTGATATGAATATAGTTTTGCCCTATATCAAGCCGGATGTGTCATAAGACTGCCAGTGAGGCTTAAGTGGTAGCCACTTCACGTTTGTTTTGCTGTAGCCTCAAGGGCGTATAATCGCACAGTTGCAATGGACTCTGAACCAGAGGTGACTGAGCAGGAGGAGGATGGCCCGCCAGACTTCAAGCAGGTGGCAGTCACTACTGTGTTTTGCGTGCGTTTGAATCGACGCACCTGGTTTCCTGAAACTCAGGTAGTTGATGGGGTCACCTTCGCTACCTTCAGCAAGTGGGACTCCGCTTTGTGCAAATTGGTTCATGGAAAAGCCCTGAACCGCCATAAAGCGAAATCTACCATGAGCCTTTCGTGCGAATGGTGGGATTGTGTTTCTGAGCTTCGTAGCTTGGCATTGCGACAGCAAATAGGTGTTATCAGCGTTGTACATCAATGCTGCGCACAAGTTACACGATAGCAAGCTATTGATACCTCACATGTGCACTCATGCCACATGCAACTTGCAATGATTACCATGTTTAACCACTTGCACCTCCTCCAGTTTGCCACAAGATTGTGCATTGCGACTCTGACAGCTATTGAGGCACTGACGCATGCAACCGCGCTTTGCATGAGAATCTCATGAAGTCGGTGGAAGCAGGAGAGAAACCTCCACGACTCCGCCCAGCGCGTGATGAAGACCGCTTTTTGGTTGCCAAGAGTGTGGCGATTGAGCTTCCGCCAATTGTAGATGGTGAGGGTGAGGGGCACGCGTGTCGCTGCCTTTGGAAAGTGAAATCGAAAGACATTCACATCGAGCTCACCAATGAGAACGTGGCGCATGTGCTGGCTTCTTTGGCGTGTTCGCCGCCGGCCGAGAAGAAGAGGAAGGAGAAACCTATTAAGGCCTCTCCAAAGCGGAGAAGACGCGTGAAGCGCCGGGTGTCCGAAGAGATGCCTGTAGCTGAAGCTAGCGGTAACGATGAGCCAGAGGCTGCAGGTTGAAAGCAATAGTACGATTGGCATGTATCAAAATATCGCATTGCGCTTTCCTGGACCTTTGCATTTCGACATTATTTTTGCGCATGAAACATGATTTTGCGGTTGCTAACCTGAAGTGCTTGCACGCTGTCTATATACAGAATTGGCGCCATTGAGGACGCGAACATCTACGCGCACGCTGGGCTACATCAGCTCGCGTGCATAGGTTTGTCAACGAACCACCAGTCCAGGCCCAGCATGGTGACGAAGCTCTCTGTTCAGGCGAGGTATTGCTTCAAGCCTTTTGGACAATAGAACAGAAACGTCTATATTAGTTCAACTTGAACGGCCAGGTGTTTCGACGTGTTTTTGAAACAATGCCAGATCGGCAAGCGTCCGCGCACGACAGTTGCCGCTAGTTTGCGGGGGAACCAGTGCCAGTCATTCTTCTATACTGCAACCAAGGGTAACCAAAGTATCAACACATGTGTTCAAACGATATTTGTTTGGCTTGAGTAAATTGCCCTAACATTTCTGTGTCAAGCGTGCCTTGTGAAGCAAGCAGTTTTCCTCAGGATACGAGATTGCTCAGCGGTGGTCTGGAGCCTCAAAAGCATGAGTTGTGTCAGTCTGGTCAAACACATAACATACTTTCAAGTCAAACCGAAGTAGTTTGCGGTTCACAAAAAAACAAGAAAACTATAGCTGCAGACTGTCCTTTTAAGAGATTCGTGCTTGCCTTGAGAACTAGAAAACACCAAAAATATCAGTAAATCTATCAAAATGTATGGGAAAAAATGGGCAGCGTTTCCCCCTGTATACTAACTTTTTGGGTGGTGTGTGCGTTGGCAATCTATAGTGGTTTTGTGATTTCACAATTTGTTCATTACAGTTTTTGTGGGTGCGCAAAATGTCAACTCAAAGTTTTGTGATTCCACAACTTTTTTTTTGAGTTTAGATACTTGGAATACATGTGATCCCACAAAATTCTATATTGACTTTTTGTGAACCCACAAAAAGTTGATGTTTTTTTTGTGATTCACAAAGTGTCAATTTGATAGATGTCAACTTTTTCCCAATCCTCAGGTGTCCTTACACCTTCCAGCGCCACAGCCGGAGATGAGAGACCAGGACTTGAGAGCTTCAGGACTTGAGTTGGAGGACATGAGAACTGCGACCATTCTGAGATGGTGCTGAGCGAAATAATACGCTGGGCCAGCGCTCGCGTATGATGGCAGTCAGTCTACCAGGTCAACGTAAAGCGCTGCCATGCAACCGTCTATACAGTACTGGGTCTTGCCCAGTGCAATTCCACCTTGTTGACGTCAGCTTCAATAATGTAGCATTCTGTTGCGAGGCCTTCTGTCACGGCTGTCAGGTTGGAGCTTGTTTGTGTGATTGCTCACAACTTCCGAAGGCATTTTCACTTTTCAGGTTGCTCTGCCACGTTGCCGCGCGACGGATTTGAACTCAGCTTGCAAACGCATTTTCTCAACACCTTCATTTGGGTGTCGCTGAACTAATGATCAAGTGACAGTGGCAAGTCAATTCGAAACTCAGTCTCTGTGACACATGCGCTTGTACTTCCAGACCACTGCAATTGAACGAGAGATATGAGGAACGTTGGGGATGGCTACAAAGAGTGAGGGACACCAGTCACTACTGTCCATCTGAACCACCGTTGTCGCCCTATACCCTAACCACCCTTTGGAATGCGTGTGGAGCCGGGATGAGTCTTGCAGTTATCACAGTTGTGGTGTGTCTGTCACGCGGCCTAAGTACAGAAAGTTCCATTGACATTCTATTGGACTTCAGGAGGTTGAGCAAATCAAAAAACATTACTCTGTTTTGCTAAACGTGTCTCACACAATCAATGGAAAGAAACGGACAGCGTTTCCCCCATTTGCTACCTGGCGTTGTCTATTGGATCCACAAGATTTGCATACCAGATCTTTGTGATTCCACACTCCTTTTGTTGATAACCTATAATTTCATTTGTTCACTCACAGGGTTTGACTTTGCAAAGTTCTAACTTTTGTGCTTCCACATTTGGGTACACAGTTAAACTTGCGAAGCCATGTTGACTCAGCGCTGCGTTTCAAGGCCAAACACCTTCAACCGCAACCGACGCCAAGGCGAGATACTCGAATTTGGCAGAAGGTCATGATGAGTTTCAGGTCAAGATGAGTGTTTGATCAATTCCGGTGCACCCATTGCAGACGGATGGCTTCAAGCGGCATGATTACGTTGGCAATTCCATATCTATTTGCAAGGCATGTTCATTTGCAAGGCATACAGCATACCCCTTTAGGTTGCGTATTTCCTGTTGTGTTTCCAAGATCCCTGGACACACTATTGCCGCACGTGGCCATTCCACCACAACACACACACACCCACTTCTCGACATACCTGTCACTTACATACAGTGAACATTGTAGTGAACCCACAGTGCATTACGATGGTTCGCGTCTACGGCCCGGATGGCGAGATGATGCAGACGCATGATGAAGAGGAACGATGGGGTGAGTGGCTGCCAGCTGCGCCTGATCAGGCGCAGCCTGATGCAGTTGCGCTCTGACAGCAATATATATGATATAGAATGGTCATGAGGGTGGGAACATTGACAGTTGCGCTTGTGCGTGCATCATCTATGGAACACATCCATGGTTTTCAAGCCGCCCAGGATCTCACTACGCCGGAGGGGGAAGAGGAAGAGCAGACGGAGGAGGATGCGGAGGTCGACAGTGGCAGCGGGGAGGACCTTGTGTTGGTGTCTCTTTTGCAACGCATGGAAGGGACCATCATGCAGCTATTATGTGTGATTGGTGATCATGCCTTTGCACCGGGTTGCTTGTTGTGTGGCATGATGCACGCAGGAGTGGTTCCCTGAAAGCCCTCGGCTGATGAAGGCGAAGGCGAAGGTGAAGTGCAAGGCCATGCCCAAACAGCCAGCACCAGCCCAGCCAGCAGCAGCCCGGCCAGCAGCAGCCCGGCCAGCGCAGCCCAGCAGCAGCCCGGCCCGCAGCAGATGGATGGGCCGGCGGACATGGCACCGCCCCCACAACCAGCAGGATGGGCGCCAGCAGCACCATCCTCAGCATCAGGCATGGTTGCACCATGGCAGAAGCCGGCGGAACCCGAGTTTCCACCAAGTCCGGCAGCCCTGCAGACATGGCAGGACTGAGACGCATCCCACCCACGCAGACTGCGGTTCAAGTTCCTCATTCTCTCACGCTTGATTGTCACCATGACATGTGTTTGAGAGTTGTGAAAGATTGATGAAGGAGCCCCGGATGCAATCCTGGATGCCCCGCGACCCACAGGTCCTGTGGTATGGGAACAAGAAGGAGTCTTTCTTGCAAAGAATGGAAATATACATATATATATATATATGTGTGTAGATACAAAGGGAAAAGGGATGTGCATATCGAACAGTCTTATGATTTGCAGCCCGACCTCAGGAAGTCCACCTTCCAGATGGACGAGTGATGGTGGACGGAAAGACCATCGCGCTGCAAGACCTGGAGGCCTATCGCTCGCGGACGTCGACGAGGACCAGGGGCCGCAAGAGGGGAGGATCTCAGATCCGGGCAAAAGAGTCTTTGGTCGCATTACTCCGCGTGTTATGCATCTATATATGTAACAAAGTTTCAAGATTTCGTTTTCCTGGGCAGCGCATCGACTTCATGATCCAGCCAAGGAGGGATTTGCGCAGCTGAAGGAGACCAAGCAGGATGTTACTTGGCATCATCACAGTGACAGTGAACGC